AGAACGAAGTGAACGGGGCATCGGCCGTCGGCGACGATGAGACGCCATGGCCAGGGCAAAAGAGCAGGAGAGTCGTTTATCGATATTATCGTGCGGGCAGCGGCAGCGACAGCGCACCGTCGCGTCGCCTCGAAGGAACGATAGCGAGCGACCGTTAACTCAGGCCACGACGCGACGCGACGGCACACATGTCGCGCAAATAGCCCGCCGTGGCCGTGTGTATATGTACATGCACGCGCTTACACGTACACACGCTCACGCGCCGCGGCTCTCTTGCACGTACATCGTACACACGTGCGTCCGAGACGCGTTTTCGCGCTCACGCTCGCGTGTGTACATCCTTCCGCGAAAGGCAGGCGAACCGGACGACAACGACGATGACGATGACGATGACGACGACGACGACGACGACGACGACGACGACGACGATAACGACGACGATAACGACGACGATGACAACGACGAAGATGAGCGAGATCCGACACCGCTTCGCTTCGTTTCTTCGTTTCATCGTATACGCTTCGAGGGAAGCAGGTGAAAATTAATTGTACGGGTTTTATCCGACTCGCGTTCTACGGGAGAGTTGTGGAACGCGCGGACTCAGTCTGCTCGCGTCTGCCCGCGTCTACCCGCGTCTACCCGCGACAGCGGCGCGTGCAAAGTGTACATGTATGTGTATTTGTGCGTGTGCGTGTGTGTGTGTGCGTGCGCGTGTATGCGTACGTGCGTGTGCGCCTTCGTCGTCCTATAACACCAGGACGCCATCGATCGATTTTCCTCTCGGCGTCGTCGTCGCCTTGTTGCCCATCGCCCTCATCACATCCCCCCCTTCCGCCCATCGACTCTCCTCCCTGCCGTCGCGAACGCTTCCTCGCGACGCAATGTTGGCGCGCGCGAGACTCGATTCGTTAATCGTAGATCGAAGCCGCGCCACGCCGATGGCCAACGCGCCTTATCCGCGAAATCATATTTTTGTTGCCGCCGCGCTCTTAGCAACGCCATAACCGCCGCGCGTATTTCACGCCCGGGACTGGGGTCAGCTGCTCTCCGCGATATACGCGGACTACGAGATACGAGCGGCGCGGAGCGGCGTCGCGGCCGTCCCTAAAAAGAGAAAATTATTTCCTTTATACACCGAATTAATTCCGACGATACCACGAATCGAGCCAAGTCACTGTTACAGCCAATCAAGATGTTATTCACATAAACGTCATCATGGGTTTATCAAGTATATTAATTCCATTTGTCTTTTTCCCGGAACACCTTATTGTTTCTCGAATGTCTCGTTACATTGCTATTTCACGGGAGAAATCATCGATCTCATGTACATCCGCAATTTGGTTTGAAAGTTATCCATCCGTGTTCCAATAGTATCTAACTGATATGCTTTAACGTGATTTAACTAATTATAATCTCGCCTGGCATTACAATTCTGTTAGCTTTAGTGAACTCCAAATCGATCGAATCTAAGATTATTTGCGATAATTCCTTAGCTCATTCGTACCTCTGTTTAGACTATAAGCTCGTGAGAATTTTCGCTGTTATTTTTCTGTCGCTAGCATACAGACTCCAAATTTTTATGTTACATATTTATATACGTACATATAGGGTAACTGTCTGTTATTGTGTCTGTTCTTATTAATATATATATATATATATATATGTACCTTTGTATTTAAATAAGTCATAAGCAAAAGTGAATAAGAAAACTAAAATAAATAAGGAAAATACTTGTTAATTAAGTTAAATTATTAATGTATATGACACAAAGTACGTTTAATTTTTTAACTATTAAAGTTATAGCAAATATTTTTTCGGAAAATATAAGAAATTTATATGAGTCTAGTAATACCGCAAGGTTTTAAACTTAGCCATGTTACACGAACATTGTGTTATAAATGTACATTGAAGTGATGAGTACAATTAAAGTAATGATTTATGCAATATTAACTTAAACAATTAGCTAACATTTATTATTTATTTTAGTAACTATATGTTAAAATAAGTAAAATGTGGATAGACACACAAATTGGAGGCACATTAATAAAAAAACATTCCTAATAGAAACAAAAATTTGTTTGTTTGTCTTATTTTTATCAAGACATTTAAAATATTAACATATATACTATTTTGAAATAAAGAATTTATTCTTAAACATAATAAAATACCATCGTTATAATACTATAACAAAAACAATAAATCTCAAAGACAGCTGAAAAAGACGCACGCAGCCGTGCTCGTGCTTGTCATCATCGCGATACGCTTTCATTCGAGATTTTAGCAAAGTTGGAGCTCTGAAATCCTAAACGTGCACGGGGACAGCGATAATTATCGAGAGTAGGACGCTTCTCTCTCTCTCTCTCTCTCTCTCTCTCTCTCTCTCTCTCGCGCGCGCTCTCGCTGTCTTTCTCCGCTACGGTCGCGCGATGAAAAACGAGCAGGTATACGTGACGAAATGCGGTCGGTCCTCGCGCGTGTATCGCCGGCGAGGCCGCGGGATATCGGGGCGCGCACAGGTACACACTTGTCGCTTATTCGCGTTCGTGCAAGCGCGACGGTTACTCGCGGTAAATTTACCCGCGAATTATCGCGAGAGCGAGTCTCCTTACCGCGCCTCTCCTCTCGTCGCCTCGCCTCGCTTCGCTTCGCCTCACCTCACCTCGCCTCGCCTCGCCTCGCCTCGCCTTGCTTCTCCTCGCCTCGTCTCGCTTTGCCTCGCCTCGCCTCGCCTCGCCTCTTCTCTTCTCTTCTCTTGCCACGCCGCGCTCGTTGTAACTCCGGTCTCCGCGTCGAATGCTTCGTACCGTAGTCCGGATTTTAGGCCGCGCGCTCGTAAATCCGGCTCTCCCTCGGGGATTGCCGGCGGAGGTGGCGGGAAGGATTTAAGGTTTTGCTGCATCCGACATCTTCAGACCCTCTCTCTCTCTCTCTTTCTCAAGCTTTCATATTTCGCACAAAAGACCGGGAAACCTTGGCAAATGTTATAAATATTACGGAATTTTCTTATTATGTAAAAGTACGAAAGCGGTTCGTTTCGTACTGGATGGATACGCATTTCTTGTTCTTTCTCCATACAACATGTGGTTCGCGAAACCGCTTCGACAGTTTGAAGATATTATTTAGATTTGACATTCGATTGATCCACATATCTAAATATTATGTAAATGTGATCGGGGATACATCCGGTATCAGAGGCTTGAATTATTTTTTGCTTAAACGATTAATAAATATTGTTAAAAACAAGAAGGGATACAATGTAGAGTCGAGTCGGAAAAAATCTTTTCAAAAATTCTTTTCCAAGAATTCTTTCCTTACATCATCCCCACTCTTGGTACAACTTCGTGCTCACCACCACGAATATTAACTCACACTGCATTTCTAGGTTTATAGGGTAGGGTAATTCACGATACCCATTCGTCGCAAACCGAACGTCCTGCCTCTCGTTACGCGTGACATCGTTGTCGATGGGTCAAATGACGGAGAAGTGGAAAATGAAGTACAAAAGAGAAGCGCGACGAAGAGCACAGGAAGCTGGAAGAGAGTATCGCGAGCAATTCGCCGGGGATGATAGGGTAGGTAGGAGGGATGAACCATCGTCGCCGGCGTTACGAGACGATGTTCATCGATGGAGAGGAGGGGAGATGCGCGCAAAATACCGCGCAGGTGGTGGGGCGACTGACCAGTCGAAGTCGACTGCCGCGACGGCAACGGAGTTGGCAGTCAGTCCTATTGTGGTCGTTACGCTCGACACGAGTATTCGGATGACACGGTAGTGCGAAGTATCCGGTGAGCCTTTGTGAGAGTTTAGAGTAGTGATCAGCTCGTATCGTGAGAGAACGAAAAATCAGACACTACGCGAAACGAACGCGCATCTTTCAGGGTGTCATTCGCGCTCGCGAGCATCGCGTTGGTCACTTTGGACCAAAACGTGGTATTCTCGAGAGAACGAAAAGACAGACGTAACGCGAAACAAACGCCGCATCTCACGGTAGTGTTATTCGGGATTCGCGATCGCGCGGTCTACGTTCGCAAACTTGAACAAAAAAAGCCGTGTCCTCGGACAAGGACGAGAAACACGCTGCGGCGAAAACTGAAAATTGATCTTGGACTCTTGGAGCCGGTGCGCGATCTTCCGTGCCGGAACGTATGTACCTATCGCCATCTCCATTTCACTCGATTCGTCTATCTCGCTCACGCTCAGACTACTACCCCAACCACGCTATTCCTCGTGGTACAGCAATAATATCGTTTCCCGCGCGCACTTCGGATTGGCTGTTGCAGTCGCAAGTCCGGAGGAGAGCGGTGAGGTATACCGGGGAGTACCAACACGCTCCGTTTTACTCGCGCTAGCGACGTCAACGGGAGAGGAACAGAGGGAGAGCGGTAAGGTGTAGAGCAACGGCAGCAAGAGTGCCTTGCTTCGACGGAGGGCAGCAGGGTGTAGGAGAGGGAAGAAGCGAGAGAGAGAGAGAGAGAGAGAGAGAAAGAGGAGGTGGTGGTTGTAGCCGCCCGACCGACCGACCGAGTTGTTTCATTCATAAAAAAGTTCTTTATTACTCTCTGTGAGCGCATGTGCTATTCCACCACGGAGGAGGAACGAGTACTACTACTCCCCCGACCGGCTGCGACGGCGTAACCGCGTTTACACACAGTATTATTTACTACTGTGCGAGATACGAATCGGCGCCACACGCCGTACCGGCAGCGCGGCGTACGGATCGTTCCGTTCTCATCTCCGCGTTCGTACCAGTCATCATCGCGTTCGTCGTCCGGAGAGAAACTTTGTGCGTATGCCCGTACCAAACGAATGTATATAATTTGACTTTTTAAACTTATTCTTGGTTTTAAATATCAATCGCGAGCCAAATACTCAGTTAAATAGTGCTCCGAAAATTAATCGGCATCGAATTGGTAAAAGAAGAATAAGACGATCAGCGAACAAAGTGTTAAGTGTCCAAGTGTCATTGTTACTACGAAGAACAGCAAGCTGGCTCAACTACAAGAAGCCGCCGTCCTGGATCTCTCCCCAGAATCGGGGGGATCTGTGGATCGAAGAGATCGTAGACCGACACGTCGTCAACATAACACCAGCAATTATCGTCCAAATTACATGGTAGGTGGTAGATTTGAGAGCAACTTGAACGTCGGCGATCCTGGGCCGAGTTCATCTAGAAGTACGATGCCGCGGAATGAATCCCGACAGGCGGGCAAGCGACCGTTGAGGGCTCTCACGCCCCAAGAAAAAATAGACGCCATTAATCGAGTACATAATGGAGAATCGAAGGCTGCTGTGGCACGCGATATTGGTGTGCCAGAGTCAACTCTGAGAGGATGGTGTAAGGCGGAAGAAAAAATAATATCTCAAGTGAATAATATAAAAACTTCGGGAACAACACTGTCGGGAACATCGTTGGCAGGTTACGAGCATATTCTAACATCAAGTTCCGACAACAGTAACAATAGTGGAGCGGGTGGTTCTTCATCAAGATCGACACCAACGGCCCAAGCCACGATGTTGGGATTACCAGTATCGACTTCTGGAGTTACCGAGAGAGCTGAGGAGTTTGAAGCCGGTCCGTCCCAGAAAAGAATAAAACTCGAGAATAGTTCTTCCGGCAGCATGATGCCCAATAATATCTCAACATCGGCTCGAGCACCAATAGTCAGTGACACTATGTTTTCTCCGTATTTATACAATATGATATCGGGCGATCTAAACAAGGCAGCAGCCTTGTTAAACTCATTTACGACGAAGCCTGCGGATTATTTTCATTTAGCTGGATACTCGACTACTATGAATTTTATTAATGATCTGGCTAGGAACAACGGCACGGTGAACAATACGACGTTAGCGCTGAATGTGCTAAAACAGCACCAGCAACTGCAACAAACTAATAACACGCTACCAAACGGGAATAAAAAAAAACATAGTGCCCCAGGACTCACGTCAACCATGGACATCCCGAAACCATCATCGAGGACACAGAACAATCAATCACCGAATATGGAAAAATCGTCCGGGAGCGTCTCTCAATTCAACTATGAAAACTCTATGCCATCAACGTCGACTAGCAGCAGTGATCCAGTCGCAAACGTTCCTCAATCAAAAACATCCAGAAACAGTAAAAGTCTTACTAGTATAATAGATAGTCTTCACCATCCATATGTACCACCTCCAAATAGCGTAAAAGGAGTGACATTTGATGCCGTAAATAATAATAACAATGATGACGATATGGATAACGAGACTGCGAGACAAAATTACCCCGATGCCTTGCCACCGGGATGCAACGAAATGGTGAAGTATTGCGACAAATTGTTAGATTGGTTGCACCGTCACGGTTCGCCTGTAAGTACAATGAAACAAGTGGGTCACATACAACGCATTTCGACACGTTTACAAGATTGGATCCAGAAGTCAAAAAAGGGATTCCCTCAAAGAATTAACGGTACGAGCTAGCTGTAAAAATTTAATATTTCTACATATATGTAAATATATATATATGGTAATAGTTGCTAAATTTTGTTGATTGGCGCAATATTTAATAAATATTACCAAACATAATAATAATAATAATAAATTGTTTGATAATAATAATTACTATGTATTTAGAAAAGTAAAATTATCGTTTAGTTGCCCCAATTTGATACTTAAAACCAAATTATTCATTAATATTAATGAATAATTAATTATTTGTAATTATTTGTAAATATGTAATTATTGTCAAAATGAAAATAGATTTACTGATTAATTTTATAATAGTTATTAGATTATTTGGTGCAACTAAGCGCCTAAACATAGTCAGGACTGCCGCTAGATGGTCGTTTCTAGCATATAAAATTTAGTCGAGCTTTCTGTATAATCAAGTCTATATGACCGAAGCTCAGATATAATTATATAGAAGACAAATGAGATAAATGTCATCTGTATAATTGCCAACAGTCTTTTTCTGAGTGTAGTTACCAAATTGTTAACAATAACTTTAATAATTGTTGTTGAATCATACAGTAATTATGACCAAACGACTTGATAATATTCATTAAATTAAATAAGTAAAAATTCGAATTTTTTATGATAGATTAATTTAGTAATATTTGCCATAGTAGTCAGTATTTATTACTGTGTAATTTAGCTGTATTTACCAGTTCGTTTGGTTATATTTATCATACGATTTAGTAATAATCAACTAGCTTTATTATCAATTTCCAAATCTTGGTTAAACTATTTAGTAATAGTTACCAAATTTTTTTATTTTATATGTGTATATATGTATATGAATTGAACATATAAGTGAAATTGTTTCACCAAAGTGTTTAGTAATTATCATCTAGGTTAGATTACATTGTAATTAATCTTAAGTTTTTCAGTATTGCCTTGTCCACAACTTTGCTTTAAAAGACGTAAGCCGTAAGTAATTATATATCGGCCACAGAACTTATGCTCTTAGGTCGTAAGAATTGAGTTTTGCTCAATTCGCTTAAGTCTAACGGTTAAAGCTTAAAGACTGCGCAAAAACAGTTTAAAGACAGAAGTTATTGTCACTTAATATCTATCGACTTATGACTTAAGATCTTTTAAAGCAAAGTTGTGGACCGAGACTGTGTAAATGCGTTATTTCTTATTATATTCAGTACTTTCGATTTTTTTTTGCGTTTTTAAAAATATATTTGACAAATCGCATAGTGAACGCGATGCTCATGAAAGTCCTCTTTTCCTACGTTTAACTACCTCTTAGGATAGTGTTACATTTAGGTTTACGTTTAGAAATTTATTATTTCTGAATAAGAATTATCAAATATTTCAAATTAATATCATCATTTATTAATTAATCGTTTATATAAAAAAAATTATTCAGATTGCGCGCGACGATGTCATTGAAAAAGGAAATATACAAAAAAGAAAATCTCAAATCATTTCTTTCCAGATAGTTTGTTTACTTACCGTAATGAAAGCTTTGGCTAGTGGCTGATACTCGATGTTATCACTGATGAATTGTACACATCCACGCCATGTATATATTTCCGGATACGGCAGCGTACTTCGTTTGATACTTGTAGATACAAATTTCTATGAAAAGTAGAAAAAGATTTATTCTAATAGCGCTTCTCGTCGCGACGTATATTTTTTGCGATTCTCTTTTATATTATTAAGTATTCTTCTCATGTTAATGATTTAAATTAGGTCAAAACAACAAAAAAATTTCTTGTATTTTAATGATAATTGATTACGATTAGTACATATTTTATTTCTGATCTTTTAATTTTTGTAAAGACGAGTTTTATCTTTGTATAAAATGAAACTGTAAATTGAAAAAAGTAAAAAAAATAGAAATAAATACAAAAATCCATAAAGTTCGTTTGTATTTTTTAATCCTTCGAAAAGTAATCCTTATTATATTTTTAAGAATATTTTTAATCAAATTATTGTGCGAAATCTTAAGTTAAATGTTATCAAGATAAAAAATTCCATTGCTCTCAATCTCTTTATCGTCTATAATAACTTATGTATATATCCTGATCCTTAATGTACATTATGTATATTTGATACAAGTATATATACAAATTTTTTAATCGCTTCTTGTTCTCACAGATTATGAGAATTATACATAAAATTTTACTATAAATGCCGATACGAGTTATCAATTTAAAGGAACGTTAATGACATTTTGAACAATTTTTTAAATATTACATTTCAAATATTTTAACTATGCAATAGTCTAATCAGCTGATCTTGCGATCAGCTGATATTACAAACAGCTGACTTTGCAATCAGCTGATTTTACGTTTCACTAGGCATATTTGTAATAATCTTCTACATTCGCAAATTATAAATATAAAAAGTTAAATTCTATTACAAAATTTTACGAATACAAATATAAAATACGCTACTTTTATAAGATTAGCTTTTAACGAATATAATGTACCTTTTTTCTTAAACCGATATTACATGATTTTTAGACTTTTATAGTAATTTGAAACAAGAAGAGGAAATAATTTTTTGAACATAAGATTTTCGTGTAGTACTTATTTAGGAGAAAAGACAAGTTCTTTTTCTTTTTTTTTTTCAAGACATTTCTTTTTCTTTATACTGATATTATTACACTAATTTACAGCAAGAATTCGTGATTATCAGCCAAGGATCATAGCTTTTTCGAGATCAAATTTTACCCACTTGTACACGGTATTCATTTTCGCAGGCTAACAATAACGGTCGGCGATTCGAATACTTCGCATGGAACTGCCGTCGAAAGTTTTCCGCGTACCACAGTAGTAGTCGCTCCTTGTCATTGACGCAACGGTAGGTATTTGGAAGTGATCGTACGTAGAGGTCCTCCGTTATTATGGCAACATCCGGCCAACACAACTTGATCAGGCACAATTCGCGTTGCACCTGCTGCAGGATCTCCTCGACAGTACTAGTGGATTTTTCTATGTCGTGCTCGTCCTCCGGACGTTTATCTAGCGACGACGGATGTAGAGCGTCGAAATCGAATTGCTTCTCAGTCGCGAGATTTGTCATGATGTTCATTACGATGTGCAATCTAATTATCCGTCTGTAAAAACATGCGTTTAAGTCGATTGATCGTGAATGTTTATTGGCGTGATTATGAAATCGCGATTTAAATTTACATCGACATGCAAACAAGCCGTGGTCACTATGACAACGTGATACGGCAAGTGTATCATACCTCGGTTACCGTACGTAGATGGCAGCATCAAGTGGAATACAGGTAATAAAAATATTCAATATTATGAATCGAAAATTTACAAAATACATACTTATTTATTAATAATTATACCCGTATTTATTAGCAAAAATATTTACGGAAAGCTGAACTTTATTTTTTAAGGATACTTAGATATTTCGAAAACAATAAAAAAAAAAAAATAAAATTTTGTAATTAAAAATCTCGTCATGAGAAAAGTGAAAAAGGTCTTTTACTTCAATAATTATTTTACAATAAAATGAAAAGCCTCTGTGTTCTATTTAATGTCAACAAGAAATATGTTACCTTAAGGGGATGCTGGAGTCTTCTTTTTTACCGATAAAGCAAGCGTTTATGTTCCTTGCGCGGTTCTTCGAATTAGAGTTGCACAGAATAAAAATTCCTTCTCCACGATTGAAATATCCGTGCTAGTGTAACTGCTCCTGGTGTATTTTGTGTCCAAAACTGGGAAAAATAATAAATTACAGATTCCTGTATCCATGTGCTATCAGCTCACCAAACATTTACTTCGTGAAAAAATTATATGCA